CTCACCTTATAGGCGGGAATGTGTGTGAGGCGGCAGAGGGAGGTCTCGAAGAGCCCGAGGAACTGCAGCGGCCTCTTCAGGGCCCGGAACGGCGTGATGCTGCTCTTGGACGGCTCGACGCTGCGGGGTGGGGGGTGGGGGGCGGGGGGTGGGGGGTGCGGGTCAGCACTGGGGCGGGGCCTGGCGGGCGCTTAGCGGAGGCTCTCTTCCAGGCCCTTTGCTTTATTTACTTTTTCCCTCTTTAAGGGCAGGGGACATGAGTCGCCCCTCCTGCTGGAAGGCTGGCAGGGCCACACTGCGGAGGAACCGGTGGGTGGGAGGTACTGGTGCAGCTGCCCTGGGAAACACTGGCAGCCATGCTAGCGGGGGAACGCCCCCCTCAGGTTCCACCAGTGCCACGAAGGGTAAGCTCATCAACCAAACACCCGGGCGTCTGCCTGGGGCTGGGACTTCTCGCCATGACGGCTGGCGGCTTCCTGTGACACCTAACGGGTGGCAGGTGTGGCCACACCGGGCTCCCATCAGTCTCCAAGGGGCTGCTGACCGCCCAGTCTCTCCTCACACCCCCGCTTCCGGCCTCTGCACGCGCTGCCCCCTCTCGGGAAGACCGGCCTCTGCACGCGCTGCCCCCTCTCGGGAAGACCGGCCTCTGCACGCGCTGCCCCCTCTCGGGAAGACCCGCCTCTGCACGCGCTGCCCCCTCTCGGGAAGACCGGCCTCTGCACGCGCTGCCCCCTCTCGGGAAGACCGGCCTCTGCACGCGCTGCCCCCTCTCGGGAAGACCCGCCTCTGCACGTGCTGCCCCCTCTCGGGAAGATCGGCCTCTGGGAAACCCCGGAGGAGCTTTCGGGACAGTGGAAGTCACCCCTCCTCCTGCCTCTCCCGACCCTCAGGGCACGCCCAGAGCCACGGCTGTGTCCCCAGTGGCTCTGGGTGAGTCCACGCGGAGCCGCAGCGGGTGGGCCCACACCTGGTCTGCCCGGCCTCCTCGTCCATCTTGGAGATGCTGCAGTTCTCCAGGATCATGTGGCCAGAGATGTCCAGGGACATCAGGTTCCCCAGCTTCTGCACAAAGAGACTCAGCACCTTCCGAGTCAGCTTGAACTTGTAGTAGCTGGAGAGGCGGTCTCGGGAGATGTCCAGGTGTCTGGGTTGAGGTGGGGGCCACGGGTCAGGAGCTGGGCAGGGGCGGAGCTGCCTACCAACCCAGCCCTCAGCCCACAGCAGGGGAGTGCCCGTGACTGCCACCCTGTTCCAGGCATTCCGAGAACTGAGAACCTCCAGCCAGGACCCAGCTGACCTAGAAGGTTTAGGGACTGGGCCATGTCTTCCATCCCCACCCTCAGCCCGGCCAGGTGCTCTTGAACCCTCTGGGATGGACAGCACGCCGCCCCCCCACGCCAGGCCCGGTGAGCTCTGGGCCGCAGCTCACCGCAGCTTGTGCAGCTGGACGATGACCCGGATGTGGTCGTCCGACAGGTCCATGTTGTAGAGCACGAGGGACACCAGGCTGTCCTTCCACTGGGTCAGGAAGGCGGCGTCGCTCGTCTGGATGCCCGAGAGGTCCAGGGCGGCCAGCGAGCTGAGTGGCCGCAGCAGGGACTCCACGGGGACCCCGTCGATCATGCGGCCCAGGTTGAGGAAGCGCAGGCGGCTGAAGCCCTCGAAGGTGAAGTCCTTGACCAGCACCTGGCAGGTGGGGTTCACGAGGCACTCGTCCTCGCAGCCCCCCGGGTTCTCCTCCTCGTAGAAAATGTTCGCGCAGCCGAAGAGGCTCAGGGACACCAGGGTGTGGCTGAAGCTGCGCAGCGTCTGCAGGCTCTTGGCCGACAGCTTCTCGCAGTTGGTCAGGTACAGCTCCACCAGGTCCTGGGCAGGCAGGGCTCCGTCAGGCCGCCCCGGCCCGGCCCTCGGTGCCCGGAGGCTCGGAGTGGCCCTGCCCTTGCCCGCGGCTCCCAGCAGCCTGCCCGGGCCCACTCCGAGCGCCTGGCAAGGCAGCTCTCACCTGCTTGCGGATGGCTTCCAGGTCCTGGTCCTGCACCAGGTCCTCGCGGAGGTGGATGCGGGTGAGCCGGGTGCTGCGGGGGTCGGAGAAGAGGCTGAAGAAGCTCTCGTGGGGCTCGAAGTTGCAGGCGGCGTTGACCAGCTCCACGTACCTGAGAGGTAAGACGGCCCGGCTCAGGGAGGGCTCGGGGAGGGCTCGGGGAGGGCTCAGGGAGGGCTCGGGGACCGGCAGGCGGCTCCCCTTCACAACACAAGCCCTCCCCTCCCGGAAGTGCCTGATTGGATCCCGACTACACGGCAGGTGAGAGCAGGGGTGCCCTAGGGGGCGGGGCTCTGCAGGCACTCGTGGGTGACCTCCTGGTTTGCAGGGTGCCCTTCCCCGCTGCAGTCTCCACGCTCGCCAGACAAGCACAGCCACCGGCCCTTCTCCAAAGGCCCACTCCGGCCACACCCTCCACTGCACCACCCCACTCATCTTATCAGCCCCTCCCAGGACCTTTCAAACAGCTGGGGACAGGGCAAGGCCTCCCTAAAACCCAGCTGGGACGCCAGCACGTGCAGGAACCCTGGGCTGCTGGCACCAAACTCCTGGCTTGGCTGTGTTCCACCTGCACAGCGTCAGCCGGGTAACTGAACGCCCCTGGACCTCAGGGTCTCCGTCTGTCAAATGGACACAACTCTGGGCTGCAGAGTGCCCACGCTCCTGCCACACCCCCAGGAAATGCCTGAGTCCCATACTTCCCCCTGCAGCCTTGGTCCAACAGCTCCCCTTCCGGGCCTCAGGAGATGCCTGCGGGGTGGGGGGGTCCCTGCGGGGGCTGCACACAGATCTGCATGATCTGGTCCCTGCTCACGGATCCATTCTCCTGGCACTGGAATGTGAGCCCACGCGCCCACACTCGTGTCAATTCACAGGCATGTGTGCAGGTACATGCGTGTACACACGTGCCACACAGCACGCGACTCCGCCAAGTACATGCAGCTTTCCTACCACCTCAGCCCTGAGTGCACGCTTCAGGCTCACACCTGCAGGTGCGCTCAGCTCTGCACACGCATGCCAGCATGCACACACAGACCTCTGCAGGCACGGCTACACCTCTTCTCTTGCACCCAGAGACGTCCATGACAGCCACACCCCCTCCTACACGCGAATCCACAGCCATGCCCCCGGGTGCACCACAGACCCAGTGTCTCCACTCTCGCTCACGCTAAGACCCCTGCCCAGCCCCAGCCCCAGCCCCAGCCCCGGGGCTTGCTCACTCATTGACAAGCCGGTCACAGATCTCGCTGGGCAGGAAGACGTCAGGGTGTAGGCGCAAGGTCTCCTTGTCCAGCAGGTAGCCCAGGGTGCCGTCCAGGTTGCGCAGGCAGAGGTCGGTACAGAGGGCCATGAGCGACTCGGGCGTGTCAGACGCCATGCTGGGGGCAGGCGGCTGGGCCTCTCCAGGTCAAGGCCCCCAGGGGCAACAGTGACTCCCTGGACTCACAGGATCATTGGCAGGACCGCGGCCTGGGTGATGGGAAAAAAGTCAGGTGAGTCCCATGTGAGGGCCGGAGCCCTGGCCGCCCCGGCTGCTCCCGTGGCAGGGAGACCGAGGCCACACACGTCACACTGAGCAGCAGCTTGGCGGAGCCAGGGCCAAGCCCCGAGGTCTCTGACCCCTCTTGCTCCTGTCTGTGCGTGAGTCAACACGACAGGAACGCAGGTCGTGTTTAGGCATTTCTTTGCCTTTACAACACCTGCGGTGGACGCGTGTGTCGGGGAAGCTGGTGTTTGGAGGGGGATAGGAGAGACTCTCATCTTCGCCATCCATCTGCTCCTCACCACCTTAGCAGCCACGCTGAGGGGTCCGGTGGGTGCTCCCTAGCCTGCACACAGCCATCAGGATGGAGGGCTGAGTACGAGCAAGGCTGTGCAGACGGTATCAAAGAATCTCATGATGCATGATGAAAAATGAAGCCTCCGGGGTGGGCGTCTGGAGAGCAGTTAAGCCCAGGATGTCGACATCCCACACTGGAGTGCCCGGTTGAGTCCTGGTTCTGCTTCCCGTCCAGCTTCCTGCTAGTGCACCCTGGGAAGGCAGCAGGATGGCCCAGGTCCTTGCCACCCACACGGGAGGCAGGATTGAGTTCCAGGCTCCTGGCTCAGGCTGGTCCAGCCCCACCCGTTGCGGGCATTTGGGGAATGAACCGGCACGTGGAAGATTTCTGCTTGTCTCTCTGCCTTTGAAATAAAATGCAAGTGGGGGAGGGGGTCGTGCGGCAGGTGAGGCCGGACCCCAGGCTGGATCGCTGCGTTGAGTCCAGCTTGCCCTGCTTCTGAGCCAGTTTCTTGCTCCCGCGTTCTGCGAGGCAGCGGATGACGGCTCCAGTGTTCGGGTCCCCACCACCCTGTGGGAGTACCAGATGGGACTCCGAGTCCTGACTTTGGCCTGGCCCAATCCGGGCTGTTGCGGACATTTGGGGAATGAACTAGTGGATGTCTGTCTGTCTCTCTCTTTCTGTTCCTCTGCCTTTCAAGTCGATGAAAATAAATACACATTTTTAAAACGACAATAAATGTTTAAAAATGAGGGTTTCCTCCAGGAGAAATGCAAACACGTCCATGTACAAACGTGCTCGAATGATCGTGGTAACAATCTTCGTGATAACCAAAGAGCAGAAATAACCCAAGTGCCTGTGAGGTGACGAACGGATGAACAAAACGTGGCTCGCCCGTCCCTGGGAATCACGTTCGGCCACGGGAGGCACTGACACACATGAGCCTTGGAAATCACGCCACAAGAAAGCGAGCCGTCACCGAAGCTCACGTGCCCTGTGACCCCAGGCCCACCAGTATCCAGCCACACAGCACATTTACAGAGACGAAAGCGGATCAGTGACCGCTGAGGGGTGCGGGTACCTTCCTGGGTGAACACGGTGGCCTGAGGCTGAGGGGGACGGGGGGCGACCGCTGAGGGGTGCGGGTACCTTCCTGGGTGAACACGGTGGCCTGAGGCTGAGGGGGACAGGGGGCGACCGCTGAGGGGTGTGGGTACCTTCCTGGGTGAACACGGTGGCCTGAGGCTGAGGGGGACGGGGGGCGACCGCTGAGGGGTGCGGGTACCTTCCTGGGTGAACACGGTGGTCTGAGGCTGCTTGCGGGATATGAGCCTGCACACCCAGGCAGGCCAACTGCACGGCGTGGGAATCACATCTCAGTAAGTGTCACTTAAAAAACTGAAAGTGGAGGCAGGTGTTTGGCCCAGCAGTGAAGACTCTGGCTGAGCCGCTCACGTCCCACGTCAGAGTGTCAGCGTTTGCTACCTTGATGTTGACTGCAACTGCCACCTAACGCAGCCCCTGGGAGGCAGCGCTGCCTCAGGCAACTGGGAGAGCTGACTGAGCTGCTGGCTCCTGGCTTCCGCCTTGGGGAGTGAACCTGTGGCTGGGAAGGTTCTCTGTCTCTCTCGGTCCCTGTCAATCCAATCCTCCAATCAATCAATCAATTCTCTTAGAAAAGAGAATATGAAGAAAGAGAAAGGGCAAGCTACAGACCAGAAGACAATTTTAGTAATATTTCCAACTAAGGACTCGATTCAGAATATATAAGCAGAGGCCGGCGCTGTGGCGCAGAGGGTTAACGCCCTGGCCTGAGGCACCGGCATCCCATATGGTCGCCAGTTCAAGACCCGGCTGCTCCATTTCCAATCCAGCTCTCTGCTGTGGCCTGGGAAAGCAGTAGAAGATGGCCCAAGTCCTTGAGCCCCTGAACCCACGTGGGAGGCGAGGAAGAAGCTCCTGGTGTTGGATCGGCACAGCTCTGGCCGTTGCGGTCAATTGGGGAGTGAACCAGCAGATGGAAGACCTCACTCTCTCTCTCTCTCTCTCTCTCTCTGCCTCTCCTCTCTCTGTGTAACTCTTTCAAATAAATAAATAAAAAAAAAGATGATATAAGCAACTTCTGTGTGTCAGTTGGGAAAAAAAGACAGCACCCAGGCAAAACATGGGAGAACGGCTTGAACAGTGTTTCACAAGGGACAGCGGGACGGACGGCGTGCACTTGAAGAGGACTCAGCGTCATGAGTATCAGGCAAGTTGCTAGGAAACCACAATGAGATGCCACTTCCCCGCCACCAGCCGGCTCTGCTGGGACAGTGACAGCGGCGGCAGCAGGAGAGGCAAGCCCAGGCGTCCACGAAGACACGGGCAGTGCCCAGCTCGAGTCGTGTCTCAGATTCCAGCTCCTGCTTCCTGGAGACGCGTTCTGGGAGGTGGCTGGTAACGGCTCAAGGGGACAGAAGACTGACCTCTCTCTCTGGTTCTGTCTCTTTGAGTCTCAAATAAAATTAAAATAAACAAACAAATTGTTAGATTTTTTTAAAAAGATCTGGGGGTGGAGGTGTTATGGTATAGTGGGTTAAACTGCTGCTTGCAACATTGGCAACCCATGTGGGCACCAGTTCAAGTCCCGGCTGCTCCACTTCAGATCCAGCTCCCAGCCAATGTACCTGGGAAGGCAGCAGAGGACAGCTCAAGTGCTTGGGTCCCTGCACCCATGTAGGGGACCCTGATGAAGCTCCTGGCTCCTGGTTTCAGCCTGGCCCAGCTCTAGCCATTGTGGTCATCTGGGCAGTAAAACCAGCAGACAGAAGGTCTGTCTGTATTTTGTCTCTCCCTCTCTCTGTAGCTGTCTTTCAAATAAATAAAATCTCAATTCTTTTTATTTGAAAGGCAGAGTTACAGAGAGAGGGAGAGACAGAGAAAGATCTTTCATCTGCTGGTTCACTCCCAAAAGGCTGCAATGGCTGGAGCTGAACCAATTGGAAGCCAGGAGCCAGGAGCTTCTTCTGGGTCTCCCACATGGGTGCAGGGGCCCAAGCTCTTGGTCCATTCTCCACTGCCTTCCCAGGTGCATTAGTAGGGAGCTGTATCAGAAGCGGGGACAGCTGGGATTCGAATCGGTACCTATATGGGATGCTGGCATTGCAGGTGGCGGCTTTACCCACTACACCACAGTGCCAGCCCCAATAAAATAAATCTCAGAAATAATTAAGAAAAAAAGAATTGGACAATGGGAAGTCTCCCACCCTGCTGTGGGCGTGTAAACTGGCGTGAACTGGGATGTAATGGGAGCACTGTTTAACTTCACCTACAGAAGCCGAACACACACAGGTTCAACGCTGAGCAACTCCACTCCTAGGCAGATGGCTGACAGAAGTGCGTGGCTAACTGTGCACCTGGAGACACGTGCTGGAATGTTCACAGCAGCCGCATGACTGTCTGTCGCTCCCCCTCTTCGTGGAGGAACGACACAGGACCCTGCGCTGTTCTTTTGTCTGCTTGGCCCTCCCCGGGTTTGCTGCTGGTTCTTCCCGGGTTGGCTACCGTCCCCTCCACCTCCGTGGAAGGGCGGTTCCCCCTGCCACATTCCCCACTTCCGCGGGGGAGCAGCACACCGCCAGCCGGCTCTCTCGGGGGCTGCACAGGTGTTCCTTCAGATGTTCCCCTTAGATGTTCCTGGTGCATGTTATCTCTCTCCTCCTTTATAGTCCTCTTCCACCAATCCCAACTCTGCTACCCACACGCCGAGTACGCTGCTCTACTCCAATCAGGAGCAGCTCCTGCTGTTTATTGGTTGAACTAGAGGCAGCTGTGTAGAAGCTGTTTCCTCCTCTCCCAGGGCCGTATTGTGGGAGAGCAGATGCATAGAATAAGTCTTAATTCCAGTAACAGTCTAGTCCGAGTTGCTCCCCACAGATCCCCCTTTCTTTTTATTTTTGGCATTGATACGCGCCTGTCTTCGGTGCCCCGCGGCACACACTCTGCTCTGCTTGCTAGAGTTGCCCACAGGTGCTTACAAGCCCTACCAATCAGGCAAACCGAATCCGGGTCCTCTCTTCGCCATGTTGTGAGGAGGTTTTTAGGCGCTGATGCGTGCCTGAGTTCGGTGCCCTGCAGCGCATGCTCTGCTTTGCTAGAACTGCCTGCAGGTGCTTACAAGCCCTACCAATCAGGCAAACCAAATCCAAGCCTTCTCATTGCCTTCTTGTGGGGAGACTTATTGGTGTTGATAACGTGCCTGTCTTCGGTGACCTGCAGCGGGTAAGCTACTAGCCACCAGCAGGTGCTTATCGTCTTACTAATCAGGCAGACCGAATCCAAGCTCTCTCATTGCCGTGTTGTGGGGAGGCCTTATTTTTCTCTATTTCTCTATCTCCGGGCATTCCTATTTCTCCTATTTTACTTCTATCTGCCAGCATTCCTATTTCTCTCATTTTACTTCTAAACTTCTGTTTCTCTTATCCCCGCAGCTCCCCGGCGCCCGCCCCGAGGCTGCTTCTCGGCGCCTCGCCCCGCGGTGGCTTCCCGGCTTCACGCGCTCCGCAGTCTCCGCGCCCTTTGTGCCCGCACCATGGCCCCGCACTAGCCCTGCGTTCCCTATCTACTTGCGCCCCGTGCGCTCTCCCCGTTCGTGCCCCGCGCGCTCTCTGCGCGCAGCGGCTTCCGCGAGTCACACAGCCTAGCTCA